TTTATTTTTTTTTTAGCGTTTTGTAAAGAGTTTTTTTTTCCTCTCTCTCTTTCTGTGTTTTTGTTGGTCTAATTGGTTTTTGAGTGTCGGGAAAATTAAGAATTGCAGGAAAAATCCCACAAAGAATTGACGGAGAGAAACGGAAACGAGAATATGCGATGAAACAGAAGTTTAAAGACTGAAGCAGTCATTTAGAAAGAAAAAGGGGGAGGGAGAGAGATAGAGAGAATGAAGATAGGACTAAAAGAAAGACGCAGCGTAAGAATGAAAGAGAGAATGAATATGAAAGAATATAAAAGAAAAGAGTGTAAAATGGAATGAATTGTAAAAAGGAAGAAAGAAAAAGGAAAGTAAAATAAAACGGAAATAAGAATAGAATGAAAAAGATAAAAGAAACAATTTGGAAGTTATATGGGAAAGACAGAAAGGGAAAAATGAAGCAAAATAAAAAAAGAAGGAAGGAAGGAAGGAATGAAGGAAGGAAGGAAGGAAGGAAGGAAGGAAGGAAATGAATGAAAGTTGATTCGAAAAATAAATCGAATAAAAATTAGGAATTAAATAGGAATACAAAATGAATGAAAGCAGTGAAGAACTAAGTAAAAAGAATGTAAGAAAGATGGAAAATAATGAAAGAAAATGACGGGAAATTTTAGCAGAATAAAATAAAGAAAAACAAATGAAAGACCAAACAGGAAGGAAGTAATAGGAGAAGGACAAACAAAAAAGAAAAAAAAAGAAGAAACAGTGAGAAAAATAAAGGTGAATGAACGAAAGGTAAGAAGGAAGAAATATGACTGCAGATAAAAGAAAGAAAGAAAGAAAGAAAGATTTGCAGAGGAAGGAAGAAAACAAAGGAGAAAAAGGAAAATGTAAAGAAAGAAATAGAATTGAAATAAAGAAAAAAGATTTGGACGAGTAGAAATAAAAAAAAGAAGAAAAGGTAAAATGCAAAAAAAGAAAGAAAGAAAGAAAGAAAAAAAGAAAAATGGAAGAAGGAAAGACTTGGAAAAGCAGAAAGAAAACAAAGAAGAAAAGGTCAAAGGTAAAGAAAGAAAGAAAGAAAGAAAGAAAGAAAGAAAGAAAGAAAGAAAGAAAGAAAAACGAAAAACGGTTTGGAGAAGCAGAAAGAAAAAAGGAGAAAAGTAAAATGTAAAGAAAGAAATAAAGAAAGAAAGAAAGAAAGAAAGAAACAAACAAACAAACAAACAAACAGAAAACAGACAGAGATTTCTAGAGCAGGAATAAAACAAAAGAATAATCAGAAAAGAGAGACAGGAATAAAAAGTAAAGTTAAAATGTAAAGAAAGAAAGAAAAAAAAGAAAGAAAGAAAGATAGAAAGAAAAAAGAAAGAAAAACGAAAAACGGTTTGGAGAAGCAGAAAGAAAAACGGAAAAAAGTAAAATGTAAAGAAAGAAAGAAAGAAAGAAAGAAAGAAAGAAAGAAAGAAAGAAAGAAAGAAAAACGAAAAACGGTTGGGAGAAGCAGAAAGAAAAACGGAGAAAAGTAAAATGTAAAGAAAGAAAGAAAGAAAGAAAGAAAGAAAGAAAGAAAGAAAGAAAGAAAGAAAGACGAAAAACGGTTTGGAGAAGCAGAAAGAAAAACGGAAAAAAGTAAAATGTAAAGAAAGAAAGAAAGAAAGAAAGAAAGAAAGAAAGAAAGAAAGAAAGACGAAAAACGGTTTGGAGAAGCAGAAAGAAAAACGGAAAAAAAGTAAAATGTAAAAGAAAAGAAAAGAAAGAAAGAAAGAAAAAAAGAAAAGAAAGAAAGAAAAGAAAAGAAAGACGAAAAAACGGTTTGGAGAAGCAGAAAGAAAAAACGGAAAAAGTAAAATGTAAAAAGAAAAAGAAAGAAAGAAAAGAAAGAAAGAAAGAAAAGAAAAAAAAAGAAAGAAAAGACGAAAACGGTTTGGAGAAGCAGAAAGAAAAACGGAAAAAAAAGTAAAATGTAAAGAAAAGAAAGAAAGAAAGAAAGAAAGAAAAGAAAGAAAGAAAGAAAGAAAGAAAGAAAAACGAAAAACGGTTGGGTGAAGCAGAAAGAAAAACGGAGAAAAGTAAAATGTAAAGAAAGAAAGAAAGAAAGAAAGAAAGAAAGAAAGAAAGAAAGAAAGAAAGAAAGTAAGAAAGAAAGAAAGAAGAGTGTGAGAGAAAATTTGAGACAAAGAAAGAGACAAGAAATGTGAAAAAGAGAAAGAGGAAAACGTGAGATACAGAAGTCGTAAAGAAAGAAAGAAAGAAAGAAAGAAAGAAAGTTGTGAGAAAAAATTTGAGACAAAGAAAGAGACAAGAAAAAACTATGGGGCGAAAATTCGAATAGGCGTAAAAATGAAAATAATTATAAAATGTAGAATATGAGAAAACTTGCGAAAAGAGAAAAGAGAGTATGATAAAGAGAGAGTAAGTTAAAGAGAGTAGAAAATTGGGTAGAAAGAGCAAGACAGAGAGAGCTAAAGAAAGAGAGCAAATAGAAAATTAAGTTGAGAAAACGAGAGAGAAAGTAAAAGAAATTTGTCAGTAAGTAAAAGAAAGAAAGAAAGAAAGAAAGAAAGAAAGTAAGAAAGAAAGAAAGTAAGAAAGATAATAATGGCAAAATTATCCCCCAAAATATAAAATATCAAAAAAAAAGGAAGAAAACGCAGACACAGGATTATCGAAAATCAAATTCAACAAAAGAGAACGAAAAAAAAAGTACTAGCATTGTGCTGTCTGTCTATTTTTCTACCCCCTCCCGCCACGTACAAGATTTCCCGCGTCTACGTAATTACAAGTGCTGTGAGCCGGCTAAAGGCTTTCATCATGAAATACATTGCAAAATGGCGGCGACTAACAGCTGTCACGGCTTCCAACGAAACAGGATTTTGGACAAATCTATAATATCAAGAAGTGAAAGTACTTAGCTAACCGTGAACGGTAAATTTCTTCTTTTTTTTCCGGAGAACAATTAATAATTTTGGTTCGGACCCAACCCGCGAGGGCGGGAAAACGAAGAAGTTAATTTAGATAAAGTAGTCTATTTCACTGATTTTTGTATAATACGTCCAGACTCCATTAATAACTTATCTATTTATTGTCTTCTGACATTATTGTATGCGTTTTGCCAATAATTGTAATGGCAAAAAATAAGTGCATTTTTGTGAGTGTTTTGAAATTAAAACTTCGCTGAATTACGCTAGTAAAAGTGTTTCATTTCCGCGTCAAGTAGCGGTTCGTTTGTGCGCGTCCAACTGAACCCGAGTCTACATTCAAATCTTCACGTAAAGCCTCATTCGGATACTTGTAAAATATTGTTGAGCACAATCTTAAAAACAATGTTGAAGGAAGATACGGCAAGAATACTGCTGGAATTACTTGAAAAAATAATGAAGGAAAGCATGAAGAAAGGACTAATCATCAATTGTAAGAAGATAGAATGTATGTTTGCCAGCAAGAGCAAGAGTACAAGATGCGAACTAGGAATCCGAGAGAATAAAATCAAGCAAGAAAGAAGTATGAAATATCTGGAAAGTGTTTTATCAGAAAACGAAAAAATATGACACCGAAATCCGAAGATAATTTGAAATAGCAAAAGATGCCTTCCAAAAGCAAAACAAAGAAAGGGAAAATATCGTTAGAAACAAAATAAAAGAGTGTTGAACAGCTAGTTAATATCAATTCTCCTTTATGGTAGAAAATGCTGAACAAATTCCCTCAAAGATCACAAAGAGGCTTGAGGCAACAATGGACCGAGCTATTAAATAACGAAGAAGCATTAAGGAAAATGGAAACAAAAAGGAGCCTTATACTTGGAATGAGAATGCGACAGTTGAAATTTCTAGAAAACATAATGAGGAAAGACGGCTTGGAGGATGTGACACTCAAATGATATACTGAAATCAAGAGGGGCGTAGGGACTGATTTTGTAAATGATTGGCAGATTCAGCGAACGATAGGAACAGTGAAAATATGAATCTAAGAGCTACAAATGATACGAACTTGTGGAGATCTAGTAAATTAGTTTTGAAAAAAAGCACACAACCTTCAATTTAAATAGGTTTGATTGTCCAATGGAGTTCACATTCAATCTCACCTGGCTTCTTAGGCAGCGATATGAAGATCTTTCTACTTAGTCCTTCCGGTATATCACCACTGTCGTATATATTGACAATATTAGGGAAATAATAAATGAAATATAAAAAAGTTAGTAAAAGAAAGCGAGAAGACTAACCATTAATTCTAAAAAGATAGAATGTATGTTTGCCAGCAAGAGGAAGAGTATAAGGTGCGAACTATGAATCCAAGAGAGTAAAGCAATTAAGAAGATTGAAATATCAGGGAAGACGGAAAAAAATGTGACATCGAAATCCGAAGACAACTTCGAATAGCAAAAGATGCCTTCCAAAGGCAAAACGAAGAAAGGGAATATATTAGAAACAAGATAACAGACTGCTTTTCAGGGATGGACTATTATCGCATGCTGTTACACGTTTCGGACAATTTTGCTGTTACACCCGTTATATAGAGGATGTCCGGGTTAAACTTGACATTTTTAAAAGGGAAAACAAAGTGAATATCGAAGCCAAAAATCAATTTATTGGAAAAAATAGAAAAGCCGCACAGAAGCCATCTTCAACATCTACCGCGGCCTCGATCCGTCTCTGGAATCCGGCACCTGTGGTTTTCGCGGTTTTCCTAGGGAGAGTCTCAAACGTCTACGTTTGGTCTCTTTCCCAACTGCGCCTCACGAAGGATAATCCATGGAGTTAAGTGGCCAGACGATGGGACTAGTGAAGTAGTATATATAAGTTCACAACTATTTCTGACTCTTCCTGGAGGTGTTGCAGTCTGCTGAATCTTGTTGTGAAAACGTATGGTTTTCCAGCCGCCACACTTGCAACTTGACGACGGTGTTCAGTAACTCCACATATCCAGCTGAATTGAGCATGAGACCATGTTCAAAGATGTGCGTTAGCAGGAGATCACCCTCACTCGAGACACACCCAAAAACTATCACAGTTTGGGGAAACATGGCCTTCGTGCACGACGAACGTCATATGGATTGTAGGCAAGACATCTGCAGTTCTGGGTGTTGTGCTGCTGGTCCTGACTAAAAAAAAATACTTTCATAACAGAAGAACGAGATTGTCCCTGGTTGGATAGGATATTTCACTTTGTTCAGGAGTTTCTTTGCCTTTGTTCGATGGTTTTCTTAGGCTTTTCTATAAGTTGTCCATTACACCTCTTGTATGACTGGCAGCAGAGATCCTCATTCAAGACCAGTTTCATTGTAGAAATTTGTGTGTTGGTAATTTGTGTGTTGGTTTCATTGTAGAAATTTTGTGTGTTAGTAATCCGAATTTTCTCTCGAAAGAAATTCGGATTACCAACACACAAACAGAAAATATCTCATATCGAGAATATTTCACATTGAACATGAAGAAAAAATTAATTTTTTAATAATATGTAGAAATCTCCACTTTTACCTGAAGACGGTCGCGAGACCAGAAACACGTATCAAAAATTATGTAAAACAAAGCATAATATTTTTTCTAAATAAATCCACATTACAATAAAAAACGTTTGCGGCACCTCTCTTCTCTTCTTTTTTAATATACATACTTTTCTCTCGTTGGAACCACTAAAACATATTTCTTTTATATATATATATATATATATATATATATATATATATATATATATATATGTGTGTGTGTGTGTGTGTGTGTGTGTGTGTGTGTGTATGTATGTATTCAAACGTAACGAGAATGAAAAAGATTATAAATTAATTTAATAGAGGGCTCAATACAAATATACATTTGTTATAACATAGGATGAAAATGTGAGCCTGAAATCTGAATGATCATTGGTAGGGTTACAATTTTATGCACACACACACACACACACACACACACACACACACACACATATATATATATATATATATATATATATATATATATATATATAAAGAGAGAGAGAAATTTAGCAGGCCTGTTTTTAACATTTGAGAAATAAAAAAAAACAACAACTACTTGTACTCCTGAAGATAATCTCGGAAGAAAATAATATCGGAAGAAGATCGAAATTTCTTGGAAAATAGGAGCGATTTTCAAAATTATAGCACATTTCTCACATCATCTAATTGCAATATACGGAAGGTTATTCGTGAATATAAACGGATTATGTTACAAATAAGTAGACATAAACATAAAAGATTTAATTATTGATTTTTTACGCTAAGAAACTATCTATTGTAATAAACTATTGTAGAATGTATATGCCAAGTTTGGCTGGATCTCGAGTGAAAAGGTATCACAAAGGCAGAGAAACTCACAGACATCCTCTGTTTTATATATATATAGATACTGCTAGCTTCAGGGTTGATGCTAACAGTTAAGGAAACAGTGTGTGTCATAAATAAATGCAAACTTCAGATGACATTTGAATTCGCTTCGTTAGCTGACTGAACTTGTCTACAAAGAAGATTGCCTTACTAATCAAGCTACAAAACTATATATATATATATATATATATATATATATATATATATATATATATATTATATACTTTATTTTAGGATATTACCTCAACGTGAATAAACGCTACATAAATACAATCAAAACATGACGGAATTTATGTGACTTTATTCTAATGTTGATGTAATATCTTAAAATAAATAATACAACTCTACTTTTGTATTGAGCCCTCTTTTAAATTAATGCTACGGACGTTGGAATTTATATTCGATTAGTTCTCATTTCATATATATATATATATATATATATATATATGGGGAAGCCTTCGTCTCGAGAGATCATTTATCTGCGCCCCCAAAATTATGCAATAGCTGCTAATGGCGGCGCAGCATCTGTTATGGCTGTACAGGCCCAGGCAGGAGCGACAGTCTCGATTGTGACGAACGCATGTTCTCCGGCGATGTTGCTGTTTTGATTTCTTTCCTTTCTTCGAGGACTCTTCAACCCGGTGATAAGCCTCCGTTTCTTCGCTCCAGACCTCCAGCGATTGCTAGCGACGTCTTCCCACCACTCGATGTCCATGTCCATCGCCCTCATGTCACTTTTGCAGACCTTCTCAAAGCGAAGATGAGTTCGCCCTCGTACCCTCTTGTCCTCTTGCCGGTGGCCAGTTCCCTATACAGGAGGAGCTTCAGAATCCTTCCCTCGGTAGACTGTTACTTCCGTGTTTTGCCGTCGAGGCGACGTTACAGTTTCATCTCTAGGACGCAGGCCTGGGCAGAGTTTTAGTTGTCATATGCAGTTGCCCTTGAAGCACGTCTCTACACGCCACCGATGTTGTCAAAGGGCAAGATAGACTCCAATATATCTTTGCCAGAACGAGTATTAAACATAACACCGGACTGTCTTAGAAATTCTTTCTCCGGATTTGTCCCCAGGGTTTACTACCGAATCCTTTTCCATGATTGGGTATGGCCTCAAATCAGGGGAGGTTTAAATTCAGAGTTTCGCTTATCTTCTTTATTTATTTTTGTAATATAGGCAGCGACTATAACATTGAAGTTTGCACAGTTAAAAATGGAACGTCAGGCAATGTGGTTCGACAGAGGAATGTCCGTGAATTCCATGGATGGAAACTGTATTCAACAAAGAAGTCTTAAGGTGAATTTAAAAAAAAAAGATTATTAGAATCCGAAAGGAGAGTTTGTTGCAGTTTTTTGTGTATATATATGTACTAGTGAGCTATCCCAAATGACTTGACTCACTTTATAGTCCACCAATAGAAGGCTAACCAATCAGAAGACGTAGAATATTCAATCCGTGGTGCATAAAGGCGGCCATTTTGTTTACTCTATCCGAATGTCCAGTGCCAACATGTCAGGCGAAGAGGAACAGAAGGAAGAACTATGCTCTGCTACTTTTACCAAAATATCCACTGCTAACCTGAACAACGCTTTCCTACTGTCTTCGAAATATTCACTGCTAACCTCTGGATTCTATACTCAAAGACGACCGTCATCATGAACAACAGAGTTGATATTTTTGTGACATGTAATGAGGAAATAGGACTTGGAGAATTTGACACTCACAGGGCATATCGAAAGAAAAGTTGTGAAGACGAAAACCAGCGCGTAATATATCTAACTAGTTTGTCTACCATATTTTCTAGTGTATATTACCATAAATTTTTAACGGAAGGCAAAAAGATGACCGTATTATAGACAAGTACACGTTTTAAGAAATATTTACTCGGCTTAAAAATACTATTTGGAACATCGACAGCAAATACACTCGCTTGGCATAATCGAAATAAATCAATTCTGTCTGTCCGTGTGTCTGAAACTCTAACTCGGCCCACACTTGCTTTACAAAGACATCTTATAACTTTTTGGAATCAGGATGATCCCAGGAATAAAAATCTGCCCTTCATCTTGTGCTTGAACATTCAGCATTGGGATTGTGTCGGGATGAGGAGGGAGCAGTTAAAAATTCAAATTTTAAATTAACTGAAAAAATTTGTGATTTTCTTTTAATTTATATTGAGTTTAAAGTAATAAAATCTGTGTGAATTTTTAAAAAAAAGTGTTTTAAATTCAGTTTAAAATATCCAAGACATTGTGAATTGCAGAAAACAATTTTATTTCTTCAAAATGCCGGAGTTAAAGTGAAAAGTTTCTTAACGTGAGGTTTAGAAGTTCCATGGAGTTTGTGATTTGAAGAACTCCATTTTCGGCCTGAATTGGAATTTCGACCCAAATCGGAACTTCGGCTTAAGTCAGACTTTCGGCCCAAATCGGTTTTTGTCCGGAATAGAACTTAAAGCCCGAATCAGACTTAAAATGAGATTTTGAAGTTCCATGGAGTTAATTGAGGAATTCAAAGTTATTTCTTCAATATAATCATTGCTGTTTTCTAAGCTGGACCAGAGTTCCCTTTTGTTTTGGTCCAGAAGCCCAATTAGAACTCTGGCGTGCGGCATCTAAGCTATTAAAACACAAAGCAGGTAGGTTCGTTGCCACTCTAAAAGATATTTGATATGCCGGTAATATTTGTTATTTAGGAATCAATGCAAATAAACATCTTTTATCTCAAATATAAGACATTCACCTAAATTGGTTAAAAATATTAACAAATGGAATACACAATATCTGAGATATCTGCCTATTACTTTGAAATGTGGTATTATGATTACTTGCATTATTTACATTATTCGGGCTGTTATCCTCATCTTCATTGGCGTATGCACAATGTTTCGACCTCTATATCTCTGAGATGAGGTATTATGATTACTTGCATTATTTACGTTATACGGACTGTTACTCTCATCTTCATTGCCATATTCATAACGAATCGCCCGTTGTAAATAAGGTAAATGAATAGCAGAACAAGAGCTATAGTCAGTGGTGTCATCCTAAATTTCCAGGCACCGGTTCTATACAGGCGGGTATTCCTTTGGAATATATTCTGCGTATTTTCTTTTCAATCTGAGAATGGAAACGACTCACTATATAGCATCAATTTTAATAATTTAATAGAAAACATTTATTTTTAAAGATATTTCCAGATTGAAATTCTATTCTCATAATATTTCTGTTCAGAAGTATGATGCTTTTTGACTCTAGTGTCATCAGCTGTGTTATGGTTTCTTATACATCTTTGAACTGAAGTCCTTAATATACAATGGAAAATCTATCAAACTTGTGTCTAGAAGATTTGCCACATTTTCAACTTCAAAACTCTAAGGGACGTGTGTTATTTAGATTTTCACTAGGCGTGTGTACGAGTGTAGCGTAAGTAACATTTTGACTGATCGTCGGCTATTAATATATGAGATTATTTCTGGATAATCGAAGAACGGGTTGGCACAAAACAGTAGGATGTCCCCACTGACTATAGAAGATATGAAAGCGACAAAGTTTAGAGATATAAAGAATAGGCAGTTGCAGAGCGCCATGATCGACAATGTCTTGTGGGGACACGGTATATTATAGAAAAAAAATCTGATTTTATTTAGCGAAGAATAAAATAAAAGCAGCAAAATATCTTCAATTTTTTCTATCTATCTATCTATCTATCTATCTATCTATCTATCTATCTATCAATCTATCTATCTATCTATCTTTCCTTTCTATGACTTTTTTATATTTGGGTTTAAGATTCATTTTTAAATTAGTTATTTTTTTTCAGCTGTATTTACTCTTTTTTTCGATTATCCTTTTTTTCTTGCTACTTTTTTTGGGTGTTTGTTCATATTCCTCCGCGCCTATCACAGCCAGCTGTAGCGATATGAAGTGTCAGCCGATACCTTGTTAAAGCGAAAAAATATCTGAAAGATGTTACGGAAATTGCATGCAGAGTTATTGTCTGGTCGATTAACAGCCAAGGGATGTGAACCGCACAACGAACATGTCAAACGATCCAGACAAAGGAGGCGACTGAGTGAAACCAGACCTAGAGAACTTCATGAAATGCATTTTCAGATGAATGAGGGCAGGACGAAGAACGTTTGTTGTCTATAAGACAGTGGTTACTAGCAACTGAAAGCAAACGCCGCGCCACGCAGCGAAAATGATGGCCCACTCCCGCATGTCCGCACGTCGATTAGAACCGCTCGCGTTGTCATCTCATCTCACGTCGTCTCTGCTTTTATCTACAGCAGAAGGTTATAACAAGAATAAAAATTTAACTACTGCTAAAATTTCGTTTCGTGTTTTTATTTTATGAATAACAATCTGGCCAAAGAGTTATTTTTTAACCCATAAGGAGCTGCGCTCTGGGAATGAACCTGGTGTCGGTGTGTGCTGCAACACTACACAGGTTTTCACACACCACTTATATTCTATCATACATTTTTTGTTTGGTTAGCTTCCCCGGCAATTTATATATTTATTTACTCACAGCCTGCTTCAAACAACAGGGAGATGCCCACTACTGAAATAATTCCCCCTGTTTACATCCACCATCCAACCAGAATGTGGAACAACATTTTCCAAGATCTCGTCTCATCTTCCTACCTACCAAAGACCAAACCCAACCACGAACGGGTCGGCTTCATTCTCACTCTTCGCGTTTCTTGCTTGTTATTCCATATAAAATAGTCCATTGGTTTTCTATGGATCACTAACATTTGATTATCTGTCAGAGTCCAACTTGTCAGTCCGGCCGCATAGACGGCCGGCTATTCCAACCAGCCTTCGTTTTTCCCGCCTTTTCTCGAGGCCGCGCTTCTGCCTACGTCATTTCCACGTCACGACGGGATCAGTGCCATTATTTATAAAAGGTGTCCGAACCTACTTTGTTTCTGCGCCTACTGACAGATCGCTCCGCGCCGTTATGACAGGTGCTTCCTACTCGTCCGCACTTGCCTGTCAGCCTGACTGTCCACTGTAATTCGCCCATCACACACACACACACACACACACACACACACACACACACACACACACACACACATTCACCAGGGCTTATTTTTTTCTCACCCTATTCTCATTCCTTAAATTCAATGCCTTACGTTGATACGAAGACCGGTTTTACACTTTTAGATCAATGTATTTCTTTCTTTCTTTCTTTCTTTTTTCTATCTATCTATCTATCTATCTATCTATCTATCTATCTATCTATCTATCTATCTCAATATGTTGCTATCTCAATATGCCCTTCTTTCTTTCTTTCTTTCTTTCTTTCTTTCTTTCTTTCTTTCTTTCTATCTATCTATCTATCTATCTTAGTCTATTCAAATCTATCAATATATATAGCCCTCTTAATCTGTTTCTATCTATCTATCTATCTATCTATCTATCTATCTCAATATGTTGCTATCTCAATATGCCCTTCTTTCTTTCTTTCTTTCTTTCTTTCTTTCTTTCTTTCTTGCTTTTTTCTTTCTTTCTTTCTATCTATCTATCTCAATATGTTTCTATCTCAATATGCCCTTCTTTCTTTTTTTCTTTCTTTTTTTTTTTCTTTTTTTCTTTCTTTCTTTCTTTCTATCTATCTATCTATCTTAGTCTATTCAAATCTATCAATATATATAGCCCTCTTAATCTGTTTCTATCTATCTATCTATCTATCTATCTATCTATCTATCTCAATATGTTGCTATCTCAATATGTCCTTCTTTCTTTCTTTCTTTCTTGCTTTTTTCTTTCTTTCTTTCTTTCTTTCTTTCTTTCTTTCTATCTATCTATCTATCTATCTATCTCAATATGTTTCTATCTCAATATGCCCTTCTTTCTTTTTTCTTTCTTTTTTTCTTTCTTTCTTTCTTTCTTTCTTTCTATCTATCTATCTATCTATCTATCTATCTTAGTCTATTCAAATCTATCAATATATATATCCCTCTTAATCTGTTTCTATCTATCTATCTATCTATCTATCTATCTATCTATCTATCTATCTATCTATCTCAATATGTTGCTATCTCAATATGTCCTTCTTTCTTTCTTTCTTTCTTGCTTTTTTCTTTCTTTCTTTCTTTCTTTCTTTCTTTCTATCTATCTATCTATCTATCTATCTATCTCAATATGTTTCTATCTCAATATGCCCTTCTTTCTTTTTTCTTTCTTTTTTTCTTTCTTTCTTTCTTTCTTTCTTTCTTTCTTTCTTTCTTTCTTTCTTTCTATCTCTCTATCTATCTATCTTAGTCTATTCAAATCTATCAATATATATATCCCTCTTAATCTGTTTCTATCTATCTATCTATCTCAATATGTTCTTTCTTTCTTTCTTTCTTTCTATCTCAGTCTACTCATATTTATCTATCAATATATCTACTACTCTTAATCTGTTTCTATCTATCTATCTCAGTATGTTTCTATCTCAATATGTTCTATCTATCTATCTATCTATCTATCTATCTATCTATCTATCTATCTATCTATTTCCTTATCGTATAATTTTCTCTGTGTTCTATCTCATATATCACTTTGTGTCTTTCTTTTCTGTCTGGTTATTTGTCTCTGCCTCTGAATATACCTCTTTTCTCTATATATATATATATATATATATATATATATATATATATATATATATATATATATATATATATATATATATATATATATCGTGTGTAATAGGAAAATTGTCCAAATCGTTTTAAATCAAAATTGTCCGTTTGTTAGATTAAGATTTTAACCGTTGAAATGATTAAAGATATATTACTGGAATTCTCCGAAGCTTTCATAACACTATTAGACTCTACTTTGAGCAATAAGAATATATAAGTAATCCAAGCTTAACAGAAGAACATGAATGACATGTTCCTCATTAATTAATCATAGCTCCGGATCGGAAGTTCATGAAGGATTGAAAGGATATATATATATATATATATATATATATATATATATATATATATATATATATATATATATATATATATATATATATATATATATATATATATATATATATAATATTCTGGCTCGATCGGTTAAGGCACGTCAGGCTATACGATGGTTCTGTATAGGATACGTTCGATTCCTGTCGGATGACGAATATTTTCTATGAAAATTCCTCGGACATTCAGGCCGATAAATGTTATTAATACTGTTTATTATAAAACAGAGCATTTACTTAAATATTTTTTATCTATAAAAGAATGTATAAACATAAAAAATTTCTTAATATATATATATATATATATATATATATATATATATATATATATATATATATATATTTTTCATGGATCATTTTCCAACGTATTCAAGATAGTCTTCGTCTTCTCTAAGCTTCTAACTTTCTGTACTGGAGTAACAAGTGCTTCACATATTTCACGTACGATTTCCTTTTCAAGTCTTTTTTCACTGCTCTTTGGACTGTCATAGCTAAAACTTCTCCCTCACGTGCCAAAATTCTTATGCATTGAATTGGATCTTTTCTAATTGATGTCTTTAGTTCTAAGTGGAAATGATGATCCCTCTTGCTGTTGCGACCTCCCAATCCAGTTTCCTTCTACTACTCCCTCTTTTTAAGATCATTCATCGTCCTACCGATGGTTCTATAACAGACTTTGAAAATGGAAGCCAGAATATGAATTACTGAAGGTCTTAAACATTTTTCCTCTCGCCATTGCTCAGTTGGGAAGTCAGTGGGTCTGATATAAAACAATTTTAACCTCTTATATGTTATATATATATATATATATATATATATATATATATATATATATATATAGATATGAATATATATATATAATATATATATATATGAATGTATAGATAGATAGATAGATGGATGAATCTTGTTTTCCTGCATAATTATAAGGCGTTTAATAAACAATATTTCGTATGAGAAATGAAATATAACAATTCAACAATAACATTTTTAAATGATTATTCCGGAGAGTATGATTATCGACACGTATTTTTATAAGCTGAAAATAAAATAATATTTTTATTCAAAAATGGGAGCGAAACGGCAATTTTTATTAAGAAATAACTCGCTTACAAAAATCCCTGATAATTATGCACCAACACAATATCTATATTTTCTATATATATGCGTAGTATTTGGAAAGTGCTCAACATTAGTGACAGAGATAGCATATTCATATTCCATACAAATGAATATAATATATATATATATATATATATATATATATATATATATGTGTGTGTGTGTGTGTGTGTGTGTGTATAGTCATCCAAACACAGACTTTTTCTCTGTACGATAGATCATCACTGACACTAGACATACAATCGCTTCTAGCCATTATCTATCTATCAGTTTCTTTCTTTGTATTTCATTTTGTTTAGTGATTTTCCAAGCGTAGCTCAGATGTGGCACAAGGCCGAAAGTATGGGGCACCCAGTGAGGGTCGAACTCACGACTCAGTCGTAATTGTTCTAGCGAGACAAGCTTGCTAACCATTACACCACCTCGAGGTGACCAATTTCATTTTATTTATATCTATCTCGCTATCTACCTATCACAGTTCATATCTATATATCTAATCACTCTATAATCTATATAGTTATCTATAATCTATAGAGATATCTCTAGATCTATCTAATCTATTTAATCTAATTAAATGTCTAAATTTTAATAT